CTTGATGGTAGCCATTCTAACAGGAATGAGGTGGAATTTTAACATGGTTTTGACTTGCATTTCCTTTTTGACCAGGGATGTTGAGCATTTCTTGGGTTTTTTTGACCATTTGAATTTCTTCCTTTGAAAAAGCTCTCTTTAGTTCATTTGCCCATCTCTTAATTCAGTCATTGATGTTTTGTGAGTTTAGTTTGTTGAACTTCCTATATATTCTGGTTATTAATCCCTTGTCAGAGATTTTCACCCATACTGTGGGCTGCCGCTTCAATCTGGTGACCATTTCTTCTGTTGTATAGAAGCTTTTCAGTTTCATGTAGTCCCATTTGTCAATCCTTTCTCTTAGTTGCTGAGCCATTGGAGTTCTATTTAGGAGGCCATTGAATATGCCTGTAAGTTCCAGTGTATTCCCTGCTCTTTCCTGTACTACCTTCAAAGTTTCAGGTCTTACATTAAAGTCCTTAATCTTCTTTGAGTTGATATTTATACAGAGAGCAAAACATGGATCTAGTTTCAGTTTTCTGTATGCAGATACCCAGTTTTCCCAGCAATATTTGTTGAAGAGGCTGTCTTTTCTCCATCTTACATTTTTGGCACCTTGTTAAAAATCAGGTGACTGTAGCGGTGTGAATTTGTATTTGGGCCTTTAATTTGGTGCCACTGGTCCTCATATCTCTTTTGTGCCAGTATTATGCTGTTTTTATTGCTATGACTCTGCAGTATAGTTTGAAGTTGGGTATTTTGCTACCTCCAACATTGCTCTTTCTGCTCCATATTGCCTTGGTTATTCGTGATCTTTTGTGTTATCTCAGTTCTTAAACTACAGATTTTAACTCCTGCCTATGAACTGACTGTTTCTCAAATAAATGTCCCTGTAAAATATAAAAGTGAATAAAATGTATAAATTTTATCGTGTTATAGCCAAAATGACATTTAACTCGTGTGCTGTTCATGGGATTTGCTATCAAAAACACCTTTACCTTGTCTAAACTTAAAACTCATTCTTAGAGCTGAGTTGTTTTTGTGTATGCATTGAATACAAACAAAATAAACTTATTTTTACCTAATATTTTTATTTCTATGTGTGCTATACTGTAATTACCTTGATCCTAACACATATCCTGATATGGAAAACTAAACAAAATAAAAGAAGAAAAACTTTTAAGCAATTTAGGAAATATATGGGAAAGATGGTCCTCGTCTTTCTTCTCTGAAATTTATACTTTTTGGGTGACAACAATTTGTTTTATGTGGGAAGCACAATTTATTTTTGAGATAATAACTAGTACAATTAGGGATGTGTATTAGGAATTATCATCCAGACTCACTTGGAATCAGTCTTAGAATATGTATGAATTATTTTTATCATCAATCATTATAGTACTAATAAATGCTTCCTGTCATCTAGAGGTGATCAAGTAGCTTAATATGTCAAGTACAGCATTAATTTGGTGTAAATAATGTTTCCTTTGTTATCTGCACATTAAGTGTATTCACAGCTTGGGCAAATATAGCTGTCACATAAGCAAGTGAATATTATATATGTTATTAGAGCTGTGGTTTTCTTACAGCTTTGATATACTCGTACATGTCCATCAAGCATGTTATATGGACTTTGTTTTTGTTCCGTTGACGTTTATTGGTCTTTTGCATCCGTTGTACCTTGACACTAGACATCAAAAGAGAGAAAAAATTAAAATCATAAAGCTGCATTGGCACATCCTCTAATCATTGTGACCTGGATTTAGAAGAAATTAATTCTGTTTACAGAGGACTTGAGTGTTATTTAACTGATACATATTTTATTTGTGCACTGAAAATGCATGGCACATGGAAATCTGTATAATGAATATGCTGTGCTGAGTTTAAATATTCTGCTTTCCCCCATGGGGTAGGGAATGAGTCTGCCTTCCAAAAAAATAATGAACTCAGAAGTGTACTGCTTCTCTGAATGTGGCTGGGTATGTATTTGACCTGTTTCAGTAGGCTAACCTGCTGATACACTTTCTGATTCTGAATGAATGATAACAGGAAATTACTTCCTTTATAGTTATATTGAATATTAGAGCCAAGATGCTTTTGCATCTATTTCACAAGTAAATATCATTAATTTGTCATTTTTAGCTATGCTACCAAGCAGTCAGTATCTTTAATGATCTCATAGAACAATAATCAGTTAATGAAGTATATGATTATGAATATTTTAGGAGAAAGTTTTTTTCATGTTGCTTATTCCATTATTAATAAGGAAATGTGAGTAATAAAGACAAATTGGAATACTTAATAATAATTCAGTATCTTTTAAAATTATATTACATGTGTAAAAAAGGTTTAAAGCTACATATTTATATTTTAGCATTTACTTTTTTAAGTCTTAAAGCAAAAATGTTATGATTTAATGGGCAATAACAAAATTAATGATAAGAACACTATCAAAAACTTCACAATATGAAATAGCTGTAATTGCATACTAAAGTATATAAATATGCTAAATATTGATTTTTTGCATTTATGTTTGTTAGCAATATTTAATAGATATCTGTAGTATTACATATAATCAAAATTGTCAAAAGAATTTAGCTGTAAAATTTGCAGCATTCATATTATAACAGAATAGGATAAGAACCAGTGCTGGGCACACATTGTAACAAACTGGTGAATCATATGTAGATGAATCTACATAAATGTATAAATATCTGTCATCCATCTATCTATCTGTCTGTCTATCTATCTGTCTATCTCTGTGTGTATATATGCATGTGTATATGTGTGTATCTATCCATCCATTCAATACCAAACCAAATAAGTTAAGATTCCACTCAGGATGATTGCCTTGCAGAGGTTACACATGACAGAATGCCCTTACAGGAAAGCAGTGTTTTCATAATAAAGTATGAACTGTGTCATCATTGGATTTTACCAGTCCTATCAGCTTTGGTGCTTTGCTGATGAGGACTACTTTTTACCCAGGTATGTATTTGTGTAGATTTACTGAGACAAGATGAGCACAGCATAGAGTTGGCTACATATGAGGAGGATCCCAAAGAGTAGCATTTTAAGACCTCAGTCAAGTTTTTGAGAATACCATGAAACTGCTCTTTTCTTGAAGTCTTTTAAATGGATCTTTTTAGCTTAAAAGACTTCTTAAATAGCTTTTAATTAAAGGTCTGGTTTTTTTCTTCGGGGAATATAATTCCTCTCTTCACAAATATCTCTGTGGTTCTATTAGTTTATCGCAATGATTCAAGATGAATCAGCAGCATACTTACCTGGCAGGGGAGATACCATAATCAGGAAGGTGGTTTTCCCAGGGCGAGGCTTATCCATTGCACTCCGGATGTGCCGACCCCTGCGATTTCCCCAAATGTGGGAAACTCGACTGCATAATTTGTGGTAGTGGGGGACTGCGTTCGCGCTCTCCCCTAAAAAAAAAAAAAGATGAATCAGCATTTAAGAAATCATCAGGCCTGATTACTAGGAATATGAAATTTTAGGGAGAAACTTTAACAAATGGCAATAATCATCTTTTGAATAATAACATTTGTATTAGTAGTATTTTCAATTTTAATGTTAGTTTCTTTGAGAGGAACTAAAGACAGAGCTACTTTAAAAGCAAGCACATGAGGTTTTAGAAACTGTAAATGCAAAAAAGAAAAATAATTCCCTTTGCAACTTCTTTTCTTTCCTTTAAATGAAGACATCTAATAGAAGTTTAAGAATTTACAATCTTTGATATTTAGCTACATACCCATTTTGAGTATGTGATTTTAAGAGGGATATGCATCCCATATGAAGTAAATTTTAACAGAATGTTTTTTGCTGATGCAATTTCTAACTTTAATGTTTGTATAAATTTACTGATTGTTTCCATGACTATTTGAAGAACATTGAAGTGTTTATTGTAGTATGTTTAACACTTCCCTTCTATCTTTCTAAGATATGAAAAAAGAAAAGGAGAACAATTACTGAGAAAATGAAGTATGTGAATTTTTATGAACAGAGATTTTACACATTTAAAAAATTATTTCCTATTGCATTTCATTATACTGCCCATATCTGCCATGCCTTTCACCTATGAAAATTTACTTATGGCCTGCACAGGTATAAACCAAATATATTTTCACAACAGTTGTCTAGCTATAAATCTCACTATTAGTTGAAATGCTTTACTAACTCTATTCTTTTTTCTCTCTGGAGATCCATAAAGAGCAGATTTTCATTTGAGTTAATCTGATATTTAAAATACGAAAAGTCATTTATTCCTGTCCCTAATACTTCTCATATATGTGAATCATTGTTTTCTTTTGTCTGTTATCCCAGGCAAATGCTGAAAACACTGCTACTTTCATTAAAATTTTTCATTTTTCCTCAAATGCTTCCTTTGTTACTGTATTTAAGTCAATAATAAAAATAAAGGTTCATAAATTCATGTGTACTCAGTTTTTATGGCTTTTGGTGAAGGCTATATCATGTGCCCTTTTGATGAAAGTTTTTCTTAATAATTTAATCATTTTGCACTGAACATGTAAGTCATGTTTTTCAGTTGATGAGGAAAGATGGCAAGCAGGGAATAATTTTGGAAGATATACTATCGTTCAGAATAGTAGAAAGGGAGATGGTAAATTTTCATGGTTATCTCAGTTCAGTGAATGCAATTTTAGCAAGCACCAGTAGATGGCAAGCTGTGGCCTTTTTAGGGGAATCTTTTCAGGGTAGGAAGGGAGGATTAACTGTTCTTCCCTGTATGCTTAAATGTCAGTCTTTCTAGGCTTATTTATGAGATAAGAAGGTAGCTCTTCCGTATGTGAGGTACATTTGTAGAACACATTCATTCATTCCAGTGATTCAAGCAATAACCTTTGCAACACAGATGCGTGTCAGTCTGGGATAGACAAACTCTAGATCCCAGTACTCTTTACTTTATAAACTAAAGATGTGATGTTTAAAGTGATATGATCTCCTCTGTAACAGCATTGCACTTTCATTCTATTCTCACTGTCCAGGTGACTTGGATTATTACTGGTTGGATCCCGCCACGTGGCACAGTCGGGAAACCTCACCTATTAGTTCGGTAAGCTTTCTGAGAAGTGAGTGCAATTTGAGGATTATGTGTGTTATTCACTGTCCTTCATCTGATCTATATAATCAATAATAATCATATTATGCTCCTTTATGCATTATATGAGAGCAAATATTTTCATTTGACAGTTTTGGAGAAAAACAGCAATCACTGAAAATTGCAGCAGATTTTAAATTGGATAACAATCTTTTTTTCATTGTGAAATCTTTTTTTCATCAAAAATATCTTAGAAAATGCTTCTCTTGAAGTGTGGCAAAAGAGAAATGAGAGAATAATTGCTAACAAATCTAGAAATGCAGTTTGACCCCTATAATTCTACTTAATTTGGGGAGCTTCTTGAATTTAAGTGCATGCATTAGTGTTTAAGGTTACGTTCTCACACTGGTAGCAGAACTCAAAGTTCTTCAAAGGTTGGTGACGTTTATGCAAATAGAAATTAAAATTGTACACCATTTTGATAGACCCAGCATTTGCCTGGGTCACACAACTTTGCCTCTGGAGAATAGGAAACATGGTACCATGGTAAACAAATGATGTTGGCCTCTTCCCATGTGAATCTCTTTCCTAGAGTATTGGGCATCATGGGTAAGAATTACAACTCAACTCCTCTGAAGAGACCTTAATTTTATTCTTCAGAAGACAAGTCCCAGAGACAAGAATCTACTGTGTGGGTTTTAGCCAAATGGGTCACCCAGTGCTCAGCCCTGGAGCTAGAAGACAAGTTTCCTTTATACCAAATCTTTTGAGGTACTGGAAGAGAACTATCTATAGCTTCCTTCATTCTTTAACTATAATACCAAATCAAATGCTAGCATCTAAAACAGCAGAAATTTTGCCTGTGGTAAGGACAAATGAAGTTGAGTAGAGTGCAGCCCCCTCCCCCAAAATTGGGCCACAACTGTGGTAGTGAAAGTGTTGGTTTGATCAGTAAAACCAGCATGAGCCTTTCTGATGATACATCTAAGAAAGGGCAGCCTTCCCCATGCTGTTTCATATTCCACAGTGACAAATACAATGTTATTTTGAGTTCTCTTGCCTGCTGTTTTTCTTAATCCTAAAAATAATGAGTTCCATTGTGACATTTTCATTCCTGCATATAATACTTTGATCCTACTCACTTCCCCCCCAATTAGTTTTTCTTATTATCTCCATCCTCTTTCTTTAATAGTCCCCATTCTATTTTCATGTAATCTTAATTTTTTTCTCCAGAAAAAAGAGAGAAAACAAAACAAAACAAAATAACGACTATTGTATATGTAAATGAGATTGAGATGGTACAGATCCTCTTTGACTTACAATGAGGTTACAGTCTGATAAATCCTTTGTAAATTGAAGATACTGGTTGGAAACATTTAACCTACTGACCATCTAACCTACTGACCTTCGTCATTTAGTGACACAGCATACTACAGGGTGTTGGTTGTTTACTTTCGTGATTGCATAGATGAGTGGGAGCACTTTTGCACCGTTGTAAAGTTAAAAAAAATCATAAGATGATCCATTGTAATTCTAGAACATTTGACAAAAGATACTATGAAAATTCACAACTTAAAAATGTAGAAACATCTTTCTTTATATAAGAGATATTTTAAATTTCAGTTCTATTTCAGAACAATTTTAAAGAGGTACACTTAGCTGCTAACTACTTTTAAAACCATATAGTATGAGTCTTTTGCAAATAAAATATAGGTCTAACTGAAACTTTTTATAAACCAGTGATAGAATCCACTAAAAGAATTTCCTATGAAGTGTCTTTTAACCAAAGAAATTGCCTAATGCTACAACTAATGATTATGTGTATATGGGAAAGAAGGGAAGTTTTTTACTCTTTAAACTTTATGTTTTAATAGCATCCTGTTACATGGCAACCATCTAAAGAAGGGGACCGATTAATTGGACGTGTTATTCTTAATAAAAGAACAACCATGCCCAAAGAATCAGGTGCACTACTGGGTCTGAAAGTAAGTATGCTGGTGTAAAATATTTCTGAAGTGGTGAATTCCAGTATGGGCTGCATTCATAAACTTTCTGACAATGATTTTTAAATCTCTCTCTTCTCCAAAGTAAAATTCCTATAATGAACATACTTCATCTTCCATGTATTTTAATCTGGGTTATTATTCTAAGTCACTTTATTAATATTGCCTATAGATGTATTAGGAAAATCCAACAGAATATAGTAAAACTAAAGTATTTTTCTCTGAATATAAAGTTTACATATTATTTTACACAAAACAGATTTTTGTTTATCATTTTTACACTTACTCACACGTGTATACATTGTTTGGGCCACTCTCCCCCGCCTCCACCCCGCTTCTGGGCAGAACCTGTTCCACCCTCTTGATCTCTGATTTTGTTAAAGAGAAAACATAAGAGATAATAAGAAAGACATGGCATTTTTGCTACCTTGAGATAAAGTTAGCTATACAGAGAGATTCCTAGCATTGCTTCCATGCACTTGTGTATTGCAACCCACATTGGTTCACCTCTACCAGACCTCTTCACTACTTCCTGCTCCCCTTCCCATAGTGGCCTCTGCCAGTTAAAGATTACTATACTCGCTCTTGTACAGTGAGCACATCAACCACCTTCAAGTTTTAAGTTTCCTTCCCTTTCCCCATTCCTCCCTTCCATGTTCTCCCCTTAGTGTGGGATCCATGTCCAATAATATTAATGCATTTGTTTTAGGTCTATAATCCGCTTATGAGGGAGAACATGAGATTTTTGGCTTTCTGAGCCTGGCTAACTTTGCTTAAGATGGTGTTCTCTAGTTCTATCCATTTACTTGCAAATAACAAAATTTCATTCTTTCTGGCTGAATAAAATTCCATTGTATATAAATACCATATTTTCTTAATCCATTCATCGGTAGTGGGGCATCTTGACTGTTTCCATAGCTTGGCTATTGTGAATAGTGGTGCAGTAGACATGGGGGTGCAGGTGACTTTGCAGTAACCTGAGTCACATTCCTTCAGGTATATCCCCAAGAGTGGTATTGCTGGATCACATGGTAGATCAATGTTTAGTTTTTTAAGAAGCCTCCATGCAGTGCTATTCACAATAGCCAAGTTATGGAAAAAGACAAGATACCCCACTACTGATGAATGGATTAAGAAAATGGGGTATTTATACACAATAGAGTTTTACTCAGCCATGAAAAAGAATGAAATCTTATCATTTGCAAGTAAATGGATGGAACTGGAGAACGTCATTCTGAGTGAGGTCAGCCAGGCTCAGAAGACCAACAATCATATATTCTCCCTCATATGCAGACTTTAGATCTAGGGCAAAGGCAGTAATGTGGCTGAACTTGGGTCACATGATAAGGGGAGAGCACACACTGGAGGTATGGGGATAGGTAAGAAACACAAAACATGATGGTGTTTGATGTTCCCACTGCAGAGGAACTAATAGAGAAACCTTAAAGCAACAGAGGTCAATATGAGAAGGGGATCAGGAACTAGTGAAAAGGTCAGTAGAGGTGAATCAGTTTGGGTTATAACACGTTTGTACATGGAAGCAATGCTAGGAATCTCTCTGTATGGCCATCCTTATCTCAACTAGCAAAAATGTTTTGTCTTCCTTATTATTGGTTATGTTTTCTTTTCAACAAAATTAGAGATAAGGGCAGAACAGATTCTGCCTGGAAGCGAGGAGGATGGGGGGAGAAATGGACCAAACAGTGTATGCACATATGAATAAAGGAATTAAAAAAAAAAAAAAAGAAGCCTCCATATTGTTTTCCAAAGTGTTTTGTACTAGCTGACATTCCCCCCAGCAGTGTGTGAGGGTTCTTTTTTCCCCACATCCTGGCCAACATTTGTTGTTGGTGGTGTTTTTGATGATAGCTGTTCTAACGGGAATGGAATCTTAGTGTGGTTTTGATTTGCATTTCCTTTATGGCCAGGGATGGTGAGCGTTTTTTCATGTGTTTTTTTGTCCATTTGGACTTCTTCCTTTGAAAAAGTTCTGTTTAGTTCAGTTGCCCACTTCTTTATTGGTTCATTGATTTTTGAAGAGTTTAGTTTTTTGAGCTCCCTATATATTCTGGTTATCAGTCCTTTGTCTGATGGATAGCTAGCAAAGATTTTCTCCCACTCTGTTGGTGGTCTCTTCAATTTAAAGATCATTTTTTTGTTGTTGTACAGAAACTTTTTAATTTTATGTAGTCCCATTTGTCCATCCTTTCACTTAGTTTCTGGGCTGCTGCAGTTCTACTGAGGAAGTCCTTGCCTATACCTATTGCTTCCAGGATAGTCCCTGCTCTTTCTTGTATTAACTCTAACATATCGGGTCTGATGTTATGGTCCTTAATCCACTTCGAGTTGATACTAGTATGGGGTGATAGGCATGGTTCTAGTTTTCTGCAGGCAGATATCCACTTTTCTCAGCAACATTTGTTGAAGAGGCTGTCTTTTCTCCATAGTATGTTTTTGGCACCTTTGTCAAAAATAAGGTGGGCACAGCTGTGTGGATTCATGTCTGGGTCCTCTATTGCGTTTCACAGGTCTTCTATCTGCTTTTGTGCCAGTACCATGCTGTTTTAATCTCTATGGCTCTATAGTATAGTTTGAAGTCAGGTATTGTGATACCTCCAGCATTGCTCTTTTTGCTCACCAGCCTTGCTCTTTTTGCTCAGTATTGCCTTGGCTAGTCACATCTTTTGTTTCCAAATGAACTTTAGGGTAGATTTTTCAATGTCTGCTATGAATATCATTGGGATTTTGATGGGAATTGCATCAAAACGTGTAGACCGCTTATGGTAGTATAGTCATTTTTATTATGTTGATTCTGCCAATCCATGCACATGGAAGTTCTTCCCACCTTCTGTAATCTTCTTTGATCCCTTTCTTCAGAGGTTTGTAGTTCTCCTTGTAGAGGTCATTTATATCCTTTGTTAAGTTTATTCCTAGGTATTTGATTTTTAATGAGGCTACTGTAAATGGAATTGTTTTCCTATATTCTTTCTCAGTTTGTTCATTGTTGGTACATACAAAGGCTACTGATTTTTATATGTTAATTTTTATATCCTGCTACATTGCTGAAGCTGTTTATGGTGTCTAGGCGTTTTTTTGGGGTCTTTGAAATATAGGATCATGTCATCTGCAAATAGAGATACTTTGACTATTTCTTTACTCATTTGTATTCCTTTTATTTCTTCTTCTTGCCTTATTGCCCTGGCTAGGAATTCCAGTACTATATTGAATAGGAATGGGGAGAGTGGGCATCCTTATCTCTTTCCTGCTTTAGGGGAAATAGTTTCAGTTTTTCCCCATTAAGGCTTTCCACATTAAGGCTACAGGTTTGTCATATATAGCCTTTATAATGTTGAGGTACATTCCTTCTGTTCCTAGTTTTCTTAGACCTTTTATCATGAAATGGCATTGAATCTTATCAAAGGCTTTTTCTGCATCTCTTGAGATGATCAAGTGGTTTTTGTCTTTGCTTCTATTAATATGCTGTAAAACATTTATTGATTTGCATGTGTTGAACCATCCCTGCATCCCTGGGATGAAGCTGACTTGGTCACGGTGAATGATTTTTCTCATATGTTGTTGGATTCAGTTTGCCATTATTTTATTGAGGATTTTTGCATCAATGTTCATTAAGGAGATTCGTCTGTAATTCTCCTTTTTGGATGTGTCTTTGTCCAGTTTTGGGATGAGTGTAATACTGGCTTCATAGAATGAGTTAGGCTGTGTTCTTTCCCTTTCTGTTTCGTGGACAAGTTTAAGGAATGTTGGTATTAGTTTTTCTTTAAATGTCTGGTAGAAATCAGTAGAGAATCTCTCAGTTCTTGACTTTTCATTTTTGGAGACTCAATAAATTAATGCTTCAATTTCATTACATGTTACACCTCTGTATCAGTGGTTAATATCCTGTCATTTCAGTTTTGGATAGTCATAAGTATCTAAAAATTTGTCTAGTTCTTCAAGATTTTCCGATTTGTTGCAATATAGGTTCTCAAAGTAGTCTCTGATGATTCCCTGTATTTCCTTGGTGTTTGTTGTTACCTCCCCTTTCTGTTTCTGATTTTACATATTTGGGTCTTTTCCCTCCTCATTTTAGTCAGAATTGCCAGGGATTTGTCAATTTTATTTTTTCAGAAAACTAATTTTTTGTTTCGTTGATTCTTTGTATGGTTTTTTGGTCTCCATTTCATTAATTTTGGCCCTTATTTTTATTATTTCTTTCCTTCTGCTTATTTTGGGTTCACAAAACAGATTTTAATGGAAAACAGTAAAGTTTGATGAGGTAAGTCTTATCTAACAACACAGATAAGACAAGCAGAAAACATCAATAAGAAGATTGTTTTCTAATAACAACGATATTTATGGTAACACTAAAACAGTATGGTATATCTTTCAAATATACTAATTATCTAACAGATATGAGCCCATGATAGATTATAAAAGATTACTCCATTTTGTAAATTACTCCATTTTGTCTCTCTCTAATATACATATATATACACACACACACGTATACATATACATATATATCTTGTGTTATGTGTGTGCCTGTGTATGTGTGTTAAATCATATTGTTTTATGTTCAGTTACTTAAGGTTGAATGATGTTGCTTTAACCTATCAATAGATTGTATTATGATTATGTGATCATTTAACTTTTCAAAAATCCTTGGACATTAATCCAATAAAAATGTGTTCAGGACTAGGGCTGTAAGCTTAGTGGTAGTGTGCTTGCATAGCATGCCTGAGGCCTGAGTTTGATTTCTAGATCAGGAACAATAGTTCATTTAATGTTCTTAATGCTGTCTTATTGATTATTACTACTAACTACTCACTGTGAAATAATTCTGATCACCCGAGGTAACAGCAGTGTTCCTAAGAACTGTAGGTCAGCCCCAGTGTTTAGTGATAGGCCCCCATTTTTAGCTTTGTAGATATGAGCCACTCATTGGGAAAAATTCATTCTAAAGGGTTTTTTTTTTCAGATGTGTACAATTTCATGCAATGCCAAATGAACGCATTAAATATTCAGTAATGTAACTCAGGCTTTGAGAGTCAGGTCAGTGCAGATACCTATCTCAGATGAGAGCGGAATCAGATGGTCAGTTGCAGAGATGCACTTAGGCTGTTGCACTTTGACCATGGTAAATTACTTCCACAGAGTAGTCTCTCCTTGCTTGACTCTCTAGTCTTTACAATCCTAGACCCACTGCATTCTACCATGAACACACAAGAGACCAAAGTCTGGTAAGATATTGGGGCATTGTCTTCATGTAGAAATCATAGCTCGAATGATAGGGGTGAATTCAGCAGATTTAAAAAATGAACCTAATGTAAACAGTGCAAAACACTTGCTGCTTGGTAGTAGTGGTGTTATATATTATTCATTAGGTCCCTTTATTGTTAGGTCAAAGTAAAAAGAAAATCATTACACAGGCTTCCTTACACAGTCATCTCAAATACAGTGAAATGTTTTCTTTTCTATACTATATTGCCAGTTCCTTTAATAAAAAATGTATGTTCCCACACTTAATTATAAGTTCATCATAAAAGAATTTAGGATTAATTCCCCAAATTAATAAATTTTTATGAGTCTCGGGAACTTACAAAATTTCAATATCCAGGTTGTTGGAGGAAAAATGACTGACTTAGGACGCCTTGGTGCTTTCATCACCAAAGTCAAGAAGGGTAGCCTTGCAGATGTGGTTGGACACCTTAGAGCAGGTAAAGTTTTGTTTTTTTTAACATTTAAACAATGTGTTCTCTATGCATAAGTTGTGAATTTCAATTTGGAGCTATTTGTTTATATTTGAGAGTTAAATTACTAATTAATTTGAGTGCATGAATACACTTTCTTCCTAATAGAGACACTTTCCAATTGCAGTAGTAGATAAGCATATATAAGTAGCAATTTGGAGGCAGTTAGAGGAGAAATCCTTCTTGTTTATGAAAAAACACATATTTGCAAAATAATGAGGGATTATTTTCATAACATTGCTACAAAACTTCAAATCTAAAGCTTTGTGAAAAATATTCTACATCACCGTGTAATTGTTTAATCTTTAATTACAGTAATTACTGAAGTGTTCCATAATGGTCCCAAAACACTTATTTCAGAGTGATATTTTTCATAACACATAATGATAAGTTTTCTATGCAGATCATTCATAAAATATTTGCTGATTTAAATGTGACATGTATTATGCTCATGACAAAGTTCCGCTCTGGCATTTGGAAATGGGTGTAGCTTATAACCTTACCACAGTGCAGGAAAATTACTTAATATATCCACACGTGCCACAAGCTCAGTGACAATGTGCTTTAAAATCTACTTTTGGGAAATGGTTTGCTTTTCATTTTAGTTCACATCATATTACCATATTCTGGTTTATTTCACTTTAGAGTTTAGTAGAAATCTTTGGTAAGAGAGATTGAGTATTAATAACCCATAGAAGACCGTTCCTTTAGAAGTCAGTAAGGGTTTGTTTGGAATAGAATTTCCGTTGTTTAATGCCCTCATGGCTAATAGCCTGAGAAACTGAAATGTGAAATGATAGAAGCTCAACTAAAATAATTATAAAACATAGAGGTGTGCTTTTCACTTTCAGCAATTATTTGAACAAAGTAAAGGTTTTTTTGTATATTCAATTTTACAGTCTGCTGTATTTTATTATAATATAGAAATTTGTTTTCCTTCTATTTGCCTGTAAGCCTCATTGGCCACCAAAAAACTGCAGGCTGTTTTTATTAGTATGACCTTAATTCAACATTTGAGTCTTGTTTAATCTTGCCATAACTTTCTGTAGTCCTGCTCCCATTCAAGTGTCTGCACTTCACTGTGGCTTAATTCGACCACATAAAACACAAAATCAACACTGATTCACTCCTTAGTAAGACCATTCAGTGTCTCGTGATCTTCCTTTGTTAAGGTCAGAACTCTGCAGGTTTGTCCCGCACTAGCATTTCCAGCTCCCCAGCTATGTCAGTCGACCTGTAGGTTTCTGCAAGCTGTTTCCCACCTATAAGACTCGATCAACTCCTGTTAATCTACCTGGCTGCTCTTCTGCTATACCTTTCCATCCTTCAACATTCATCTAAAGTTGCCACAATTCAAAAGTGTTTCCTGATCTCCCAGCTGAACCAGTGATTCATTACTACCTCTCTGGGACCACTTGGCTCTACTTCTGTTCCTCAAATGAACTCCTGTCATTGTATGTAATATATTTACTAAGGTTGTTTGCGTCCGTATTGTTTCTCCACGACACAATATAAAGACAGTGAAAGTATCATTTTCATCTTTGTATCCTCATTATCTAAATCCTTGCCTAAAAAGTGTATCAATTTATAAATAAGTAGCATTAAAGAGACCACTTTCTGGCATGGGATCTGTTTGACCTATAAATAAATAAACATGTATTAATTTAATTTGATACTAGAAATTATGCTGTGAGATTGCTGTATATGTATAAGAAGGAGAATTTTATAATGCAGTACTTTTGCAAAATACTAGTTGCAACTGATTGCTAGGTAATAAAATCAAATTAATTGTTTATATTCATCATTTTAAAAATGAAATAGAACATAATAAAATAGGAAATAGGGTAAGTATCATTTCATACATTATTTTTCTAGCCTATATATGTATGTGCACATACATATGTGTATATACATGCATATATACGTATTTTATGTTATATATGTGTACTGAGCCATGATGGAAGCTTTTTCTTTTCTTAAACAAAAAAATTGAAAGCAATCTGTTGTAAATTTGTAATTATTTTCTTTCTTTCATTTTCTCAGCAGTGAGGTATATTATTGGATATTTGAAAAACTTTTCTAGGTAACTGCTTAGAGTAAATTACTACAAGTTATTTATGAGTTGGTTATAACCATACTGTTTTACCAAACCAAAGCAGGAACTGTGTTTTTCAATAGTCATGTTTTACCTTTGAGCAAAGACACACCTGGAAGAAAAGAAGAATTACTTTAAGTAACCATAGTAAACAAAATTTTTCCTATTTTTTGGTGAAATTCACCTGTCCCAAAACTAAAAGATGTCATATTCATACCTATATACTTAAAATGCATAATGATATTGGTTCATTAGTGTAACACATATTTACTTAGCTCATAATATTTTCTAGATACTAAGAACAACAAAATAGCATGAGCATAAAAAAATATTTAAATTTAGTCTCCCATTGTAAATTGAACCGTCCTGGACAGGGAGCCATTTGGGACCTCATATTGCTATATATATTTTTGAGAATACACCTTTGTTTCCAAATAACTATGGTGAAAACTCTATAATACCTTATATTAGGTTATAATACCTACTGTTAGTTTTTAGCCCATATTTTTTCCGTATTTTTTCTTGATTAAACTTGGACTAGCTAACAAACTAATTTCTAGTATATTTTTTGTTTTGAATTTTTTTTCTATTTGTACTTTAATACTCACTGCATATTACATATAGAATGTACATGTTTTGAACATCTGGAAGTGGGTTAACTGTCATGCAACAGTTTTACATCTGCTTGCTTTGTAACTTTGCCATAGCTACCTGTGTTGCCCCCTGGGTGTGAATCCAAATCCTTTCATGCATTTTTATTCTGTTGTGCATCTAGTGAAGAAAATAAAGCATGATTTATAACTGAAAAACTTCATGCTAACAAGTGTTAATTGCTGTTTTTACCAAAAATAAAACAGGATTTATGCACCGTTTAATAAGAGTCTTTCACATATGATGTGTCGCCTACATTTATTATATGGAAGGCATGCTGCTGGTTGTTATTTTTAATCTTTCCAAATAGGCTGTGCTAATTCCATCCCATAGCATGAGATTATTTTTATATGATTTCTGGTATATCTCAAAAGATAAGGGCAGTTTTGTATTATACTGTTTCCAGTGACCAGTAATATTTTGGGAGGAAGAAAAAAGGAAAAAAGATAGAAAAGAATGAAGGTGTTTAGAAGAACCATTTAGCTGACATTAATTATATGGCAGTTGATTTGCTTTTGAGAGCAGAGCCTAGAAAATTAAACTATTTGTATATGTTTTGCATTTCTTTGTTAAAAAAAAGAGAAAAGATAAGAAAAATAAACAGAATATATAAGGTAAAAAAATACCCTTTTTTTTAAATTCAAGGGGATGAAGTTCTAGAATGGAATGGTAAACCCCTGCCGGGAGCTACAAATGAAGAAGTTTACAACATTATTTTAGAATCAAAATCAGAACCTCAAGTTGAAATTATTGTTTCAAGGCCTATTGGGTAAGGCTAAAAAAACTTACTTCTTAAGTTTAGTTAATTACATGTATTAGCAGGGTTTTAAAAAGAATTCTATACATTCATAGAGTACATGCTAACATGGACAGTTTTTTCATCAATTATGGGAATACATCTTAGGTTTTCAAATTTTCTTAAGTTTTTCAACTAGACTACTGGATTTGCATCACTACATTTTAGAAGTTCCACACATTTAGCAATTATAATATCAAAAACACTAATATGTACTTTTCACAAGTGAAATATTGAAGTAAAATATTTTAGTGGCAGAACTACCTGTTGTTAGTAATTCTAATTTAATGAGTAGCATTTCCTTTAAGGAATCAGTAGCAAACTTATCTTCTTGTGATATGTAAATTTCATGATTTTGTATGTGTACATGAACTTTTTATTATTGTACAAAGGACAGAATATTTTTCCATAGACATCAATGAGTGGGTCCAATTTTATTTAAAATCAAGCAAGACATTAAATATTTTGATATTTGAATTGGTCATAATAGTTACTCTTATAATTTTAAAACCTCAATTTTCAACATAATTTAATTGTTCACAACCAATAGAATATATCTGTCTTACATCCCCCACAATGTTAGCTTTTTCTAGCAAACCCACAAAGTCCAGAGGAAATAGTCATTTGGACAATGTATAGTTTTTAGAAGGCATTTTGAACAATCTCATTATAGTTGGCTTAACTTTTGAATGTAGTCTTGGAAATTACCTTTATTTTCTTACTCTCCAAGATATTATAGAGCCATTAATTCAAGACTTTTTATGTTGAAAATCTGCTAACCTTAATGTGTTCATGAATATATGTCAATGCAAAACATACAAGAAAATATAATTACCCTAATTTCAAAGAAATGAAAAGTATAATCATATACCAAAGAATAATATTAATATATAAAAATTCTAAAATAAAGGCAAGCTTATAATCAATTTTAAGTGGTGATTATTGAGTCAACATTGAAGATGTTTGCAAAAGTATTGTACATTCCTTGTAGATTTCTTAAATAGCAGTATGATTTATGCTAGTTTTACATGACATATGTTCTAGTGGTAAGGGAAATAGAAGACTGGAAAAGAGGTAAGTAAAATTGGAAAATGAGTAAAAGTACAAAAAAATAAAATTTAAAATAAAAGGCTATGCTTACAATCAAATACTTTCATATATAGATATCTATCTATATATAGTGGTTTAACAGTAACAGCTAAAATTCTGGTTTATACTGGCTTAAGAAGTCAATAGGCAATTAAAGTAGACTGGAAGAAGGTTATTTTTACTTTTGTATGAAACTTACCTGCAATGTAATCATTTGCAGAGCCAAACCTTAAATTATCATGGGCTCTGGAACTTAACGAACATGGAAAACACAGGTTATATTTGAATAAAAATCAAATCTGGCATCAGATTTCTAATTAATAAATTATTGGAGTAATTTTAGTTATTTTGAATAATTATGTTCAGTGTCAGTGTCCAGCAATTGCAATTAATATAAAAGGTAAACACACATGCATTTGTAAGTCCCTGGTGCAGTGATTTCAGGAATCATTCCAAATTAACTTCCAGGCACATTGATCACCATAGTCAGAGGCATCAGCCATCTTGAGGTAGTGACTATTTTTTGAGCCCACCAAATACCATATCCTTGATCTTTATACTTTTGTAATTAAAACTGCCACATAATTTGTGAATAGAAGTAATTAAGGTATGTATGAACATAAAGTGAAAATTTGTGTGAAAATATTACTGAAGCAAATAACATTATTTATTTACTTTAACTTCTTTTAAAAGTCACTTTAACTTCTTTTAAACAACTTCCTCCGACCCCTGCCCTTGCCCTTCAAAGACACATAAAATCCAAAGTCTATACTTTGCTTTAGAGTACCAAGTTCTGATTTTCACTATTGACCATGAGGCTAATTTTCAATGAATTTATGCTGTCTAAGAAATGAGTGATCTTGAGTCTTTTAATAATTTATTCCTATTGGGTTCAATGAATTTAGAAGAAACTAGTAGGGGTATATAGGTGTTTTCCTATGCCCAAGGTATTACAAATTAGTCTCTTAATTATAAACTCATACATAAGTTCATTTATATAAATCATTAGTTACATGAAAATATCTATAACAAAATATTTTATAAAATGGATAACACAGGATGTTCTATCATTTGTAAGCAGTTTAAATTGTAGGTGGTTATAAAATTACTTTGCACATAAAAAGGGAAAATGAGACAGCAAAAAAAAACTGTTTTTATTTACATTCTCCCCAAAAGTGTAAAGAAAAATTTAAGTGAAATTAGGTTACAAGGTAAGTGATTAGAAGTTCTTAAATAATATGCTGATAATTCTGTTGGCATTTACTAACTCCAGTCTGCTTTAATATGTCATGTTAATTCTTTCATATTATTAGTCTTCTTAAATTGATACTAAGATATCTTTGGAAGGAGAGGTAAAGTAGTATTATGCAGTACAATCCCCAAATCAAAGTGGTTCAGGGTTCTTAAGGTCACACTAGATAATGATTAAAATTAGGTTATCTTAAATATTTCTTCAGAGTAATTTGTGAGTATGGCAGGAATGGGTGTTCTCACAAGTCACTTTCTGAGCACATAATAAATTGCCATATATTTAGCTAACGTCAGCATAGAGATACAAATCTCTATTAAGGGTATATATATGCATGTATATTATATATGCACATATATAAGAGTTTTTGGCTTTTGTTGCAAGCTTGAACCATCTTTAATTTTCAAAGCAATTCATCCTTTTAATTTTATTAACTTTTGCCCGTGGTATTCATCATGTCATTTTCTTACCAAGATGTTTCCATCCCTTTCATTCAGTAAACTCTTTCAGATGTGTTTGTAAAGCATATTACTGATTTGTAAAATTTATGTCATTTTGATTTTCTAGAATTGAAGTGAAATATTATCTTTAACATTTTTTATTTCCAAAACTTACAGTTTTGGTAGTAAAAATATTGTGGAGATTTTATCCACAATATTAGTCTGATTGTTGTCATCTTAAAGTGTTTTGCTATTAAATATATAAAAAGTTGTTTTTATTGCAATTTTTGTGTGGTGTTTGACATTCATGAACATTAGTAGTTTCCTAAATAGTAACCCTCCTTCATTTTTACATCTATAAGACACCACAGGATTTTCAAGTCACTTAAGTATAATGAGTGGCCTGTTGATTGATTGCCTCAGGCAGGGTTGCATTCCTAATGGGATTTTCACCAGACCCTGTTTCTTTTAGTGACATCCCTCGGATTCCTGAGAGCTCCCATCCTCCATTGGAGTCTAGTGAGTATAGGATTTCTTTGTTATTATAAAATATATTGAAATAAATTGAAAAATAAATATTTAAAATTTTCTTCACTTACTTGATATAAATGAATTGGTATTACTACACTAAGGCTGTCTTCACTGATACCAAAACTTAGCAATCTTGGCAATCTTTGGAAACCCAAAGTTCTACTTCACTCAGCATTTCTTCTTTTACTCTTTCTTGTTGGTATACAAAAATCTTTAGCAGCACCCATCTCACAATGATTAACACAACAGGCACCATCTGTAGTGTGTCTCATGAATGCTTTATTCATATGTGGATTTATCATGCAAGAGTCCCCCAGAAATGTAGAAACAAATGAGTAGGACCTCTTATTATATCTTTAAAATATCTTTAAAATTGGAGATTATCCCAAGGGTACAAAAATAACTTCCTAGAGCCACCATAGGTCCTATTACCAACTAGTATTACTACTTTATACAAATTACACATGTATTTAACATTTTGTAAAATCATTTATTCTTCATGCTTAAAAGTGTTACTGAATTTTAACATTTTTATTAGCATATAATAATTGTACCCAGGGTATACATTGTGACATTTACGTATGTGTTTACAGTGTATCTTAGTTAGATTCACCCCCATTCTCCTTCATCCTCCCTCTTCCCCTGCTTAGAACAATTTCAGCAGGTTTCATTCTTCTATTTTCATACATGAATACAAAATACACCCAACATATTTTCCCTCCTTCATCCTTTCCTTATGTCTACGCCACTTCCCACTGTTACCCACCCCCAGTCAGGACCTGTTTTAACTTCTTATCCTTTTTTTAAGTGTGTATTGATAGTTCAAGGGGTTTTGCCTTGGCATTTCACACATGCATATATTGTGCCTTAATCATATCAAACCCCTACCCCCATTTCTTACTTTTTCTCTGGGGCCCTGCTCCCTGTTCAGCAGCTTAAGGTGCGTTGCCTTGTATTATCTTCATACACAGAAGCAGTGTTTTGATATTTTTCACTGTCTAACTGAATTTTTTTTTCTTACTGTAGGTTCAAGTTCCTTTGAATCTCAGAAGATGGAAAGGCCTTCTATTTCTGTTATTTCTCCAACAAGTCCTGGAGCTCTAAAAGATGCCCCTCAAGTCTTACCAGGGCAACTTTCTGTAAGTACTTTCTGTACATATTGGAGACCGTTAGTATTTGCTCACTGTTTGGTGTATCTTTAAACAAATGCCTGACTTTTCTTGAGGCACACAATAAATCCATAGTCATTCGAGATAATACTGTATTCATCAGTTTTTATGCATTTCTTCAACTATTCCTTTATTTATATATAGAAATACTTATTGAGTACCTACAGTTTACCAGATGTTCTACATATGCATTGGCAACATAAGTATTGTTATGTGCCAGTGTTGAGGGTCCGTGCCTTCACAGGCAGGAGAACTGGCTCGTGAGGCAGCTGAATGATGAGCCAAAGTCGGTATAGGAAGTAGGAGTTATTAGAGAGAAAGGAAAGGCTACAGCTAGAGAAGCACAGTGGAGCCCGGAAGCCAGTATCTCTCTGCACAGGTGAAGGCTGGGGGTTTTTAAGGATGTTCTAACTCTGGGTTAGGTGGGTTTTTCTCATTGGCTATGGATTCTAGGGCTTTCTCCGGTGAACTGGTTTGGTTTGCACCTTTATTGGGGAAGGAGAAATAATCTTGACAGCATTTTGCTCATCAGCCCTGTGGCAGATCTGTATCTCTCCTTTAGGATGCAGGAATGCAGGCCTCCATGGGGGATGGGATACTCACTCATCTGCCTTAGGCCTCCAGACCCAACAAATCCCCACTCTGAGACAAGCACCCAACTGCTTTTGTGGAGAGGGGTGATGACTCATCTAGCTGCTTCATGCTGACAATGGGGCAAGGGGGAGCATAGGGGAGAGGGTACTTGTCTCAGGGGTTGACCAGTGTAGTCTCCAGGGGCCCCCCCGAAAGAACAGGATGGAGGGCTTATGCCTAGGCAGAGGTGAGTATTCCTTGACTAAAAGCTGGAGTTTGATCCATTGGACCTGCTGAGATATAAATCTGGAGAGAGATTTATTATTCAAGACCCAAATAGGAATATTAGTAGGAGCATAAAACAGTATCTGGTAAGGGCTGTATATCTCAGGATCCAGATTCTGCAAAGTCCTGTAACTCCCAAGAAAGCTCTAAGCTGCTTTATGGTATGGGGAAGAGGGAAACGGAAGTTTGGGTTGATTCACTCATGATTCAGGGAGTGAGTCTGTCCCTTTAAGACCACACCTAGGAAGGTGACCTGTGGGAAACATAATTAAGCCTTCTTCTTAGAGACTGTATCCCCGGGAGGCCAGAAAGTTTTGAAAAAGATTAATTGCCCTACAGATGAGGGGCTCTGTAGCTCTGCACAGAAGTACATCATCAACATACTGAAGAAGGGTGGCCTCTGGGTAGTGCCAACCTAGTAAGTCTCCGGTTAGGGCCTGTCCACAAAGATGAGGGCTGTCTCTAAACCCTTGTGGTAAAACTGTTCAGGTTAGTTGCTGTGAAGGGTTTGTGGAATCTTTAAAGGCAAACAGGAGCTGACTGTCAGGATTTAGGTTAAATGTAACACTTTTGGATAAAAGAGAGCTTTAGCTCATTATTTTATATAAATTTACACTTTTAACTTTGTAAATGTTTGTACCATATTTAGATAAAGTATAGACACAACACTGTTACAAGGTGGTCATTTAAGACACATAGCAAATATGTAAATGAACTGATTTAGTAGTACTTAAAGCTTGACACGATCAACAGAAAACACAAGTAATTACTTTGATAAAATCTTTCCAATTTACAGTTTTCTGTAGATGTTACTCAGAACAGAACAATATTAAGATAGCCTTGTTATTTTATAGACATAGAGAATTAGATTTTAGTTTGACATGACCCTAAAAATCTTTTAGGCAACTGTTAGATTCTAGTCTACTTTAACTTTGTCACACACTGAAGCTTTTTAGTATACACTTTTAAAATTTATTCAGATGTGCATACAACATTCTAAACCCTTTGATGGTTTGTCCTTATTCCTCCTCTCCATATTTGGAACAATCTTTAAGACAAACCCTCTTTATAAAATCCTTTCTTGTCCAAAAAAAAAAAAAAATTCCTTTTTTCCTTTAACTTCTCAAAAAAATACACTCAATAACTCTATATATCCTTTCTACTTGTTTACTTTGTAACTTGTATTTTAAAATTAACTTTTATAAGAATTTTAAATTTGTTATAGGGGCTGGAGCAACTAATTAGTAGCCCTTTTTTTTTTTTTCCCCCTGAAGGAGGGAGCAGCAGAGATAGCTGCCTGGGGGGAGGAGAATTTGAGCTTTTAGTTGAGATAGTAAATCCCATCCCAGCAGGGGCACTGGAGTTTCAGGAATTATGAGGAAAGAATGACAGAAGAGGAGGTCTCCCAAAGACCAGGCCAGAGGCCGGGTAAACTAGCACTCTAGGGGCTGGCCAGATATGCCCCCAATGATAACCTTGTTATTGGACTGGGGACCGGGAGAGAAAGGTAAGGCAGAGAAATGGGCTCCACTGTCTAGTCAGAAAATGACCTTTTACTTTTCTGCCATTATGGCTACCACGAGGTTCCTCAACATGGATGCCAAGAAGTGGAGCATGGACAGGAGGCCAGGACCCATCAATCCATAGGAGGTGGTACCTCACCTTCCATCTGGAGACAGACGGGGGCAATTAGACCTCTAGTGGTTATGTTTGCAGAGAGGGCAGGGTCCTGGTTGGGGGGCAGGGCTGTCTCCCACACTGTCCCCCTTCTGTCCACCATAGTAGCAAGTTCAGGATGCAGGCCTCAGTCGGTGGGGCCCTCTCTGAGAGCAGCAACGAGGCCGTGATGTCTCTTATCATTTTCTCTCCTGTTAGAAAGGTCCCGGTTATAATATACAGACATGGCTAGCCGTATTAGTTGGTTCAATGACTTTTTCCCATCAGCCACAGACTTTGAGTTTTTTATGAATATCTGGAACTGACTGAGTTAGAAATTTATTTTTGAGGAGAACCTCTCTCATCTGTGACAGTGGGTCCCCTGTGGTATGCTTTCTGATAGTGTCTTTAAGATGCTGTAAAAAGGTAAAGGAGTTTTCTTCAGGGCCTTGCTATACTACAGTCACCTGGGAATAGTTTAGAGGTTTAACTTTGGTTCCTTTTTTAGCCCTTCCACTATGAGATGGATTAAGTGGCATTGACGCCATTTATCTTCCTTACAACGTTTTTTTTTTTTTTTATTTAGCAAGGCCGGGGAATTGAACCCAGGGCCTTGCATATGCTGGGCAGACACTCTCCAACTAAGCTATGTCTTCAGCCCCAAATATCCTTTTTTTGGCTCTCCTGAGATTTGAACTCAGGGCTTTATGCCTGTAAAGTGGCACTCTACTGCTTGAGCAACACCATCAGCCCCCTTTACTATTCTGATTTTTAGTGTGGATCTGTCAAGAGGACTGCCTGTGCCCCTGTAGGTGTAGGCACATTTGTTCTCTCATTTTTAGGTGCCATGGGTATTGGGGTTCATTGTAAATGGTAATCATTTCCAACCTGAGTGGCCTGGGCCAGAACACATTACTTTTCTAATGAGGAAAGAGTTTGGTATAATAGAAGCATAATGTCCTTCCATGCCAATTCAAAGGTTTGGATCACAGAGGTAAAGGCTTGAAGGTATTGGTCAGGTGCATCAGTATAGAGTCCAGACGTTTTTTAATTTCTCTTAGATCTGATAACTGGAAGGGACATAGATTTGCCCTCTTCCTACCATTGCCTGTTGAAGGGGAAGCACCAATTAGGAGGTTCTGAATATTGGGGTGGCTTAGGAGGTAGGGCAAAGGGTGGAGCAGTAGGGGTGGGGGCCTTGCCATTGATGAGCTTTTCTGGTCCTCCTTCCCCATGTTTATTCTGTGGCTTACAAAGAATGGCCAGTATTTGAGTACCTATATAGCAATGATGGTGCCAATCTGGGTGGTCTCGGAGATAAAAGAAAATTTATATAAGGGACCTCGGTTTACTTTTCCTCCCTTTTACAGAAAAGGTCTAATTGGAGTATGGTATTGCAATTTAAGGAACCCTGTGAAGGCCACTTCTCTTGGTCACCCAAGGTATACTGAGGCCAGGCCTCAGTACAAAGCTTCCAACATTTCCTTTCAACGTGTCAATAGACAGACCAGAAGACTGGAAGGGGCAGGTCCCATCTAGAAAGACAAGAAAACAATAAACTGGGTCAGCTCCCTGCTTGTCAGCATCCTGACTGGGAATGACCTTACTAACAAGTCCAGGCGCCCTGTCCCATGACTCCCCCTGCCCCCCCCCCCCCCCCCCCCCCCCCCCGCCAATCCATGGTCAGGACCAGGGAAAGTGAATTGGTTGGAGAGGCTGTTTAACAAAGGAATACGTCATCTGTAAAGTTACAGAAGGACGTTCAGAGGGCATCCCGGGGCAATCACAGTACCACAAGGGATGACTAGTGCTAATATTTGAAGGGAAAACTTATGCTGAGGCCAAAAGTCTAGCAAATTTTAAATGAGAATTTTAGAGACCACAGTAATGCCCATTTCACTGTTCCCAGGAGGTGACATTAGTGCTTTTTGAGACCATAACCTTGAGCTAATAATCGGCTTATAAGGGCTGGGTTTGAGGCCCGAGTTGTGTGGTGGGGCTGGAGTCCTGGGAGCAGGGCTTGCACAAGGTGCTGTCCCTGTCCCACCACACACCCGGGACAAGTGACCCTGCCTGCCTAGGCCTGATCCTGCGGCCTGTCACCCCTTCCCTTTTCCTGTGTATGCGCGCCTGCACACGTTTATTTTTCCTCTTGTCCCTTTTGGGGGAATGGAGGCGGGTCACAGCCATGTGTGGCTGGCGGCCCAGGATGTGCTGCTGAGTCCTCTTTATGGATTTTCTTAGCTTTGGCAGGCGTTTTTGCTGTGTCCAGAAGCTGGCATCCTGTGCACAAGCATGCCTGTTTGCTTTCCCTCCTCCCCTTGTGGGGGTGGAGTTAGGGCGTGAGCACAGCAGCCACAGTTTTGTAAGCACTTTTGCCTAGCAGGTGATTTAATGTTACTTTAGATTGAGAAGCCTGACAAACTAGTTGGAATAACTTAAGTCATAAGGTACCAGGTTACAAGTTTTTCATGGGAGGCAGGGTCCCAGTAAGCCCAGGGAGGGGAAGGCAGACAGAGACAAAGGACACATGGTGAGACCATGGAGGAGGCAGAAAGGTGTGCTGACATCTTAGGTAAGGGAGGGGAAGGCAGAGCCTGGAGGCATGACACATGCCTGAGGGATTAGCCATCACCTGTGCCTCTGGGTCGCTCCCATTGACTGGTACTGGCATGCTTTCAGCAACACGAAACCTCCACTCTCAGGTCACTGTCTCAGGAAAAAGGGGCATTAGACATGGGGAAACAGAAACAGTCATCAGATGCCATAATCAATCAGAACTCCACCAACGTAACATGAGGCATAACTCAATAAACCCCGGGCTTGTTCTCGGCCCACAGGGAGGGAGCAGGAGCTCTCCCAGAGCTGGAATCGCCTTGAGGCCAGAGTTGGCAAGGAGCAGCTGGATTGACACCATGATGGGAAGGTCCCTCAGGCAGACAGGAAGAGACAGGCAGGGTGAGCAGCACAGGGAAGTCTGCTTTTGGCTAGTCCTCAGCAGTGGGTTTCCCCCAGCAGGAGCATCCAGCAGGATGCCAGACACTCAGTGGTCGCACCTTAGGCGTGTCCCTGTTGGTTTGGCGCTCTAGAGTTACCGACCTTGGTCCAGAAGACAGGAACTCCCTTCGTGTTCACCAAAATGTTACATGCTGGTGTCTAGGGTCCCTGCCTTCACAGGCCAGAGCACTGCCTGGTGAGGCAGCTGAATGATGAGCCAAAGCTGGTGTAGGAGGTAGGATTTATTAGAGAGAAAGGAAAGGCTACAGCTACAGAAGTGCAGCGGAGCCTGAAAGCTGGTAGCTCCCTGCTCAGGTGAAGGCTGGGGCTTTTATGGACGTTCTAACTCTGGGTTAGGTGGGTTTTTCTCATTGACCATGGATTTGCAGGCTTTCTCAGGTGAACTGGTTTGGTTTGCACCTTTATTGGGGGAGGGGAAATAATCTTGAGAGCATTTTGCTCATCAGCCCTGTGGCAGATCTGTATCTCTTCTTTAGGATGCAGGAATGCAGGCCTCCATCTCCTCAGGATGCAGGAATCATAGTGCCCTCCATGGGCGATGGGTTACCCACTCATCTGCCTTAGGTCTCCAGACCCAACAATATAATAGCCATTGCTTTTGGTATGCTATTAAAAATGTATATAAGTCATTTACACATAATTGTCTTAGAAAATCATGATAAATTTGCTTAGTTATAAGCCTGGAGTCTGAGAAACTTAAATTTGCCATTCATCTTTTTATCTTCCTGAGACATTTAGTGAAATGCTAGCACTGATAGCATTTCTAGAAAAGCTACTATTTCCCTCACTTTTGCCTTATCGTGTGATCTGGGGAAAGCTGGAGTTAAGAAACTGTGGTTAACATGAGCCACATCTGTGTGGATGAAAGCAGAAAATGGAACATTGGTCTTAAGAAAATATCAACTTCAAATTATTCTACAAACAATTGCTTTTTTCTCTTTTGATACTGTGTGGCACTTTATAGTCTGTCTCTGCTGCTTTTCTTGATATAATGAGTAAAAGAAAATATAAGCCATCATTTTCAAAAGCTTTTTTTGGTTTTAACTCCTCCCTTTAATATATATCTCAGTATAACTTGTTGTGTTTATCTGTTCTGACATCTTTTTTTTCAGTGTATATATGTGAATCTCTCTTATTCTTCATCTATGTTTTAAGAAGATGAAAATCCATTTTGATTTTATAAAAAACATAATCTGGTATTAACTGAGGATCAGACAGTGCGTTTCATACAGATCCAGATCTTAACCAGTGAAACTGTCTCACAGTGAATTTTAACTTGTTATCATGGCTCTTAAGTATTTCCAACACATATCCATTACATTAACCATGTGTATTTATATTTCTGTTTTGAAGAAATTTTAGCAAGATTTATTTTAGTATAACAGAATAAAGTAGGGAGAAATGGGGGGAACAACACTTCCTGTTCCCCATTCAGGAAATGGGAAGAAAAGCTCCTATTTATATTTCATATTCAACCACAAAGTCAAAAGTAACTTCTAAGTTAAAGGAAAAATGTTGACGTTGTGTGGTACCTTTGGTTTCACATGTAACTTTCACTGCTGAGTGCTGACATTTGACCCTTAGGACTTTGACAACAATGTGTACTCTTTTTTCCCATTTTTCTTTAAACTACTTTTCATGAAATCATCATTCTAAATGTCATTCGGTCTTCATGCAGTTTGAAGGAATCATTTATGTTATTGAGCCCACCTTTGTTTTCCTCTCTTCTCTCATAAATGTAAATTATCCTATAATAGGTTAATTATAAAAAGTTAAGTGGAGAATACTTAGCAATGCCTGCTGTAAAATAGGAACACAACATAGAAGCTTCCTGATCTCTTCCAACCCCTTGTGTCTTAATCTCAAAACTTATTTCTGATGGATACATTGGAAAATACATTTAGACGTCCTATGATCAAGACACTTATAATCACCAAACTCTTGTATTTAGAATTTAAAAACCAGAATAATGATTTCAATAGTCCCTGAATTAAAAACAGTATAAGTTTTATTTCTATAACATAAGATATAATACTGAAAGTTTGCCAGCTGTAAGTTACATTAAAAGTGTAAAGAAAAAAGTTAACTTACACATAATTATGCTTTCAAATTGGTAATCTTTTCAGAACGAATATCTATAATTCCTTTATATTGCAATCTTAAAATGTCTCTTTTATAAATATATGTTTAACATTTTATGTACTATTTATAATTATTCATGATTTTCACAAATAATAATTTCTTTCTTTATTGCTCTTAGGTGAAGCTATGGTATGATAAAGTAGGACACCAGCTGATTGTAAATGTTCTGCAAGCAACAGATCTTCCCCCTAGAGTTGATGGCCGTCCCAGGAATCCCTATGTAAAAATGTACTTTCTTCCAGATAGAAGGTAGTGAATAATTGTAGAAGAAAATTTTGTTAGAATCGATGCTAATGAAAAATGCAGAATTTCTTCTTTTGGGATTATATTTTCTAAATGTAATAAATAATTCTCTCTCAGGGAATAAACTCTGTCATTACTGAAAAATAATCCCTCCCCCTACACCCTCTTTTATTAGAAAATAATCTGTCCATTTTAAGTGTCTCTTATGTTGTTTATGCTATTATTAATATTTGATAGAGATACATCATCAAGATTGGAACTGGAATTGTAGTAATATTAAATCTATAATCTATTCAGACTTTTATGTTACAAATTAAAAACACCAATGACATTATTACATATAACTACAGTAGATGGCAGCATATACTTGTTTTTGCTTGTTCATTTACAAAACATCCTTATTTTTCAGTGATAAAAGTAAAAGGAGGACCAAAACAGTAAAGAAAATCCTAGAGCCAAAATGGAATCAAACTTTTGTCTATTCCCATGTACATCGTAGAGATTTTAGGGAGCGAATGTTAGAAATAACCGTGTGGGATCAACCAAGAGTACAAGAAGAAGAAAGTGAATTTCTCGGAGAGGTGATGTATATTGTAAAGACTCAAGTCAAATGCTTAATGAGTTCTGTGACACATATTAATTATGATTACTTTGAGAGAGTGTTTTGACAAACATGCCTGGTTTAATTTGAGAACTGCCTTTTCAGATCCTCATAGAGTTGGAGACGGCTCTGCTAGATGATGACCCACACTGGTATAAACTTCAGTCACATGATGAGTCCTCACTGCCTCTGCCTCAGCCGTCACCTTTCATGCCAAGGCGACACGTGCACGGAGAAAGCTCTAGCAAAAAGCTGCAGAGTAGGTTAAGGTCTTTTGAGTTATCAAAAATTGATTATGTTGTAGTGACCTAATTAAGGATTAACATTCACACATTCATGATATTTTTCATGTGTTTTATTAGAGTTCAAACTATTGGAACATTGCTCATCTATAAAAGATACTCAGCAAAACTATTTTCTACATTATCACAATAAAATTATGCATATATGTACATATATATGTACACAAAATGTGAATAATAGTTCTTTTATAGAACTGTTAATTTGTTGATTGGTTGATGGTGCAGTTATTTCTGTCATTACTACTGGGTTGCTATATGTAAGGTCTTAATAACTTTATGGCTATCAAGGATATTTATATTATTTTCCATAAGAAATATATATTTAAAAACATGACAAAGTAAGTATATTGTAATTAACCTGATGGTTAGGAAAAATTATTTTCTTTGGAACTATCCAGTGATTTTTGAGTTATGAGAAAATCTCTGATTTAACAACTGAAACTTAAAAGGCACATATTTTGGTAATCTGGAGCCAGATTTTTTCATATAATTGAATATTTTGCTTTAATGCTTCCCTGATAAAGCATTTCCTCAAAATTAATGTTTGGTGAAATATAGTGGCTAAATCTGGAAGCAAAATGTAAATATTTTATACAGGGTCCTGATGCCCTTTCACTGCCTTGAGCTCAATAGCCTTCCAGCCAGGGGACCTCTGTGAACCTTTCCACTCAGTACCATCCTCTAAAGTGCAGAGGAAGAAAGGTACTTTGTGTGATGTGCTTTGCTTCAGGCTTTTACTCCAAAATACTTTTAGAGTATTTTAATTAAGTAATCTGAATTGTTAAATTCTTACTCTGCATGGTCCCATTGTTTTCATGTCTTCAGCATAATGTTATAAGGAGGAAATTCTGGGAAAATATTAGAGAACAAACATTATTTCTTAAAAAACTGACTCAGTGTTTACTTTCTTTTTTCTTGTCAAAAATATTGAGTAGCAATGTAATTAGCTTTGAAAAATTGACCTTGTCAATTTCATAAACCAACCAGACACAGAGGTATCTGTTTGCCTTACTGTTGTGCAGGATCTCAGCGAATCAGTGATAGTGACATCTCGGATTATGAGGTTGATGATGCTATTGGAGTAGTTCCGCCAGGTGCGTGGGGAAGAGCATGGCTCTGCTTCACTGTGCTGCTTTGCCTGTTCTCTCTGTCAACCTCCAGACTTCTTCAGAATGCTGAACTGGAGAGCCATAGGACAGAAAAATCAGTATCACATTATTCCATGGTGACTTGTGTTTCAGATGGCTAAGAAGGTTTAAAATGATCTAGCATCTATCAATTAGCATCTGTATTAAGTTAGTCAGGTTCTCCCTTACATGCATAACCGGTCAGGTACAACGGATCTTTATTTCATGATGCCCTGAGCACAAGTGAAATGTGAATTCTGTTTTGAAAGGATATGGTTAATTTTAATCACATAAAAATGCCATTCTCCTGTGTTTTATATTATATTTCTATGATTTTTCTCCCTCCATTTCTGAAAATTCTGTAGACTTCATGGAATATACTGAAAATCTGCATGGCAGGGTCTAAATTGCATGTGGCATGGCTGTAGCTTTTAATGCTTTCGTGATGTGCTCACCACCAATTCTATCTAGAATGTGTGTGTTTTAAAATAAGAAAATGCTTTAGAAAGATTCTGTATGAATTCAAAATAAACATTTTTGCCTTTGTATAAGTTGGTAAATTTTTCATGACATTTTACATTTCAAATTTAGGGAAATGTGTAAAATCAAATAGTAATAGCTTACTTTCTTGGCACTAACCCTATACTGTTTCCTTGATTTATTCATAAAAAAGGAAGCAAATATTCAAACAAGAATTAATTAAAGAGACAATTCTGGGACATGTAAATATGATTTATTAAAACCAGTTCATTAGAATAGTATTTATAAATATTCCCTTATGTAATTTTTTAGATGTGGATGCACTTAATCTGAGGGCAATACTGTTGGCAAAATTGATAGAGTCTACACATTGTGACTAGGTTCACAATTTAGAGAGATACATACAGCTTCATTAAACATAGGGAAAATTGTGGGGGAGTTCTCTAAAATATGTTTCATTTGCTCTTTATAATCCAGAGAAAATATAGTATTGAGTCATGTATGAAAATAGCAAATAGTGGGGTGTAGTGATGCATGCCTATAATTCCAGATGCTGTGGAGGTGGAGACAGGAGGACATCTGAGGGCGCCCAGGAAAAGCTAACAACACTGTTATCTCAAAAAACAAAATACTAACCGAAGGCTTGGGGGAGTGACTCAAGTGGTAGAACACTTGTCTAAGCATGGGCAGGGCCCTGGGTTCAATCCTCAGTACTACAAAAATAGGATGGAAGTATGATTAAAATAATAAACCTAGTGTTGTGCACATCTAAATACCTACATATTATTCTTTGACATCAGACTATCAGTGAGAATTTTGAATAATACGTATAACATTTTCTGGTTGTTGTTTTTATTTCTTAAAGGACCATACACATTCTCAACAGAAACTTTGATGCAAAATATAATAGCATATTGGTTTTTATGAAGTTAAGTGTTAAAAATGACTATAAATTTAAATCCATTAGCATATTCAAATAGGAGTCAGATTATTACTGCTAGGAAAGTCATGATATGTGACAAAATCACCCTTAAGGTAAATGAAATTTCCTTCTGTGGGTGGTTCTTACATTTTATTCACCTGAAATTTCTTATTTTTTATGACAAGGCAAGACAGAATGAAAGAATAAATAGCCAACTAAATAAGCATTTACTAATGTGATGAGTTTGTTTTTCCTTTTTCTGGGATATCAAATGGATATTGCCTTCTGAGAAGTCAAAATGGGGTATAGGCCCACTGTAGATGTGATTATTGCCTTGGCAACATGAAAGAACACTGAATTCTAAATGTACTTATGTCCAGTACTGTATTTGTCACGGTGCTGGAAAACACACATAATCTCTTTTATCCTGCAGAAGCAACATTTAAATTATCATTTCAAGTAACAATTTCATTTAATTTAGCATTTTCAAATGCATTGAGCCTAGCTTTTAATAGACTATAACTAATAATATATAACCAATAAATAATACTTAATGTTTCAGATGTCTGTTCATAAATATATGAAGGGAATCATGTAATCCAGTCATATTTTCAGATATACCATCCTTTGACCCAATGCACAGACATATGCTAGTGTCTAAAGTCACACAATAAACATCTAAAGTCATACAGTACATTCTAAATACAGAGAAAAGATGAGGCACTGATAAAATGAGCAATACATGAATAAATGAAGTGGGAGGTTCAGTTAATAAACACAACACATTTCCCTATATTTCTAGAAATTAATTACAATAATAGTTCTTACATTTTCCCACATCCTGTGTGAAGAGAAAATCTATGTAGATGAACCTCCTGGTTGTATATGTCGTTAAGAAACTCAAAAGCTTAGTTCAGAGTATTCTACCTCAGCCAAATTTTAAATTTTCTGATACGTTGGCTTTTCTAGAACCTGCTGCATGATTTACTACTTTTTTCCACATAGATAAACATAACAGGACCTGAAAACTGTTGAGACCTGCAGAACTACACTTTATTAACTTATATTTATACTTATTGTTATTTAAAATAAATAATTGTAGCTGATTAAGGAGAATAAAATCATACTGAAAATGCTCTAATTTGAAGTGACACAGCTGGTAACAGCTTTTGGGAACATTACAACAAATTCAGAAAATCCCTAATTTCTGATCCAGCTAAAACATCAGGTGAGCATTTGATAGCAGTCCCCTCACACTCATGGTCTTGAATGTAGAGTACATGTTGTCAATAATAAAAGAAAACCAAGTTACTGTAAAATAGATAAAAGAGTTATAAATACATATTTACCTGTAAATGTTAAGTATAGTCAAATATTTTGAATATTATGACACAAAGATGAGATGCATACTGACTTTACATCATCAGAATGGTGTACCCGACAAATTACACTTTATGAACTCTCAAGATCTTCCTCTTACCTTAAATTCCGTCATCAGAGGATCCAGTGACATCAGATAAACCACTGGGAAATTATTTATCTGCCTTTAGAAATGATGTTTCATGCCATATTTAAAAAATAATACGAGAGTTATCTAGGGAAAAATGAACAACAGTTTTAGTTTCCCAGTTAAGTTACTATTTTCCTGGTTTGTGTACATTTTGTGTAACTGTAAATATAACTACTGTTTCCTTTCACCCAAATTATTGTTTTTATTTTCCTTGCACTCATAGAAAACAATGACCCTCATGAAAAAATTTTAAACTCTAAACTGTTATTATGGAGATTACTGTTTTATCTTAACCAAATCAGAGATGATAAAACTTTTCTTTTCATTGGAGAAGAGCCATAACAGTTTATCTATAATTGCAGTTTTATTAACTGCATTAAATTCTGTTAAACTGGCAAAATTCTGGAATAGTTTCAGGTGTGCAGGGTAGATTTAATGTTTTCATACTGTTAATTTTCTCTGCATTATTGCCATAAATCATCTCCATTCACATACTACTTATACTACTTACATTTGAAAATTGCACTATTATCCATGGTTTGCAGAATTCACAATCAGTATTTGTAGTAATTAAGTCCACTGCACTCTACATTAATTAAAATTGATAGGATTGCAGTCCAACTATTTTTAGAAGAAAATTCAAATAAAGAATTTATTTAAAATACATCAAATTTCTAAGCATTAACTTGTATATAAACTATAGTTCACTGTCAAGTGCTTGATTTAAGTTTTTGAAAGTCACTAACTCATTCATTCTTTATTAAAATAGTATCCTAACTTATCATGTCTGAGGCATCAACTGTTGTGTTCATATTCAGTATCTCCTTAGCAGCTTTGAACCAAAAAGAAACTTGTTCTCATGCATGTATATGTTACACTCTGTGTACGTATACTAAATACTTTTGAAGATAAGCTAATAATACGGATTGCATGGCATTTAATGTTAATAGATTGATGGCTGCTTTAATATAATTTCGTATTTCCACATTAATGTTTGAATTAAAGTAGAATGCTAATAAATTTTTGCATATACTCTTGCCAGTGGGTTATAGGTCTAGTGCTAGAGAAAGTAAATCAACCACATTAACAGTGCCGGAACAGCAAAGAACAACTCATCATCGCTCACGTTCAGTGTCTCCTCATCGCGGTGATGATCAGGGAAGGCTGCGTTCACGCTTACCAAATGTGCCATTACAGAGGTAGGCATTAAATGGACTCAGTGTCCTTGACGGTACTTTTTAAAAAATTATAGTGTAAATTACCATGTTTGGAACCATAATGAAATAATTGTTTGGTCAATCAGGTTACTTCTTTCACAATCATTTATGAATAAAATGCTTTATTTTTACTCAACCTATGCAATAATTTGTTTTTTAATTTTACACTTGTGCATGGAAACAATGTTAGGAATCTCTCTGTATAGCTATACTTATCTCAACTAGTAAAAACGCTATGTCTTTCTTACTATTGCTTATGTCTACTCTTCAACAAAATTGGTGAAAAGGGCAGAACAGGTTCTGCCTGGAAGTGAGGGGTGGAGGGAGAGGGAGGGGGCGAGGGGCAAGGGGGAAGAGAAATGACCCAAACAATGTATGCACATATGAATATGTGAATAAAGAAAAATAGATAAAAAATAAACATAATAAAAAAAATTAAAAGCAAAACAAAGAAAAATTTATCCAGAGAGTGGAAGAAGCTTATGTTCCAAGCATAGCTTTTAAGTTACTGTCTTGTATTCTATTTGCAAGTTTTCTCTCCTGTCAGTAGAAACGGTACAATAATTATTCAGAACTATAGAATGAAGTGGCAAAGAGGATAAGTTAAGAGGCAGAATGTATTTTTAAGAGATTTAGTGGTATCTTTTTGAAGCAGTTTAAATGCTAGGAAAATAAAGCATACATAATATACCGCTCTATTTCATCTTACCCTGCATACATACCAGCAGTAGTAATTATATAGATAAAAGTCATGTCCTCTTTTGACAGAGATGCAAAAGAAAATTGGAGACATTGTAGCACAGGCAACAGAGAGAATAAACACTCTTAACTCATTGATTAAAATAGGTTTATGTATGATGCCAACGCTTTTTAAGCCATGTTATGTGTTTGCTACTTACTGGCAGTTCCTCTCCCTTACTCTGTGTACACAGAGTACCCAGGGTACTTTGACACATGAATTTTTGTGTCATTTTAGGAGCTTAGATGAAATCCATCCAACGAGAAGGTCACGCTCTCCAACCAGACACCATGATGCCTCCCGAAGTCCAGTTGATCATAGAGCCAGAGATGTGGATACCCAATATTTATCAGAACAAGACAGGTACATGTCCAAATTATGAATTCTGTGTTCTGAACTTTTTGTTTTAATTTAATATACACAAATATTATGGAATTGTACGTTTGAGAGTGAAAGTATTTCATTACTCAAAACTGAACTCTGCTGGAATAAGTATTAAGATATTCTAATAGAAATGCAACTCTAGAAAGTACTGAGCCAACATTATATTGTTATGATATTTTGTTGAAAACACACTTTATATTTAGCCAGGCACAAAGCTTGTTGTTGACTTAGACACTGACCTAAATTATTGAAATGAGCCTATATTAGCAATATTCTCTTTTAAGAGTCACATTGTTGGGGATGCTATTTTTGTAATTATAAAAATTACGTTATTTACTTAATTAAAATATTTGGATATGGGTCTTGAGAAGGAAAGTTAATTTTGCAGAATTTCTGTGAGAACTTCATTCACGATGATTATGTTACATACCTCTCTTTAAATAAACTGTCTTTCCATAAATGTCTATAAAATACAAAGCACTGAGATGGATTCTTTTTTATACGACTATGTACTTTAGTTCTGTATTTGTGAGCCAGTATTTTTATGGAAATAGTTACTGCGAGTCTATATTCTGAATCTGTTGTTCTCCATGCCTGTGAATGGTCTTCTCAGTTACCACTTGCTTATACTCACCAAAGGTGAGGGTCTGGTAAGAAGCTTCATAATATTCACCTTGATGAATGTTTTCTTCTAGCTTTTTGAAGTAAAGGAACTTTCAGTGAGGAGGGAAAATGATAGCGATGCTGAATGATTCTTTGCCACACAGTCAAGGTCACAATCCAGGTTGAGCTTCTTACCTACTGCATTGTCACAGGCTGTGGGAAGTGGTGCCATGACCTTCAGGGTGGGGAGTCACAGTTTTTCCTGGCACAGGGAACTTCTCTGAAGAATAGGGTTCCAGACTGCTCACTTGAGCTAATTGAATGAAGGCCACAGTGTCAACATTTCTTTGGGCCTCTGTGTGTTTTAGTGAGGCTCAGGGAGGAATCAAGGGCTATTTGACAAGGCAGTCAATGTAGTAATAATTTACATACAGAAAGAGTATCAATTTTAAATAGAAATCCTCATCAGAGACACTCCTAGTTCATTAAGAAAATATATAATTTTCAGTGACTATTAAAGCCAAGAAAATTAATCCTGTTTTAAGTTGCTAAAAAGAAATAAAAACTTAGAGTTCCAATTAATATTGGAAAGGTCAAACATATATGTTTAAATATTCAGATATTATACTTTAAAATATATTCCTGTACCTTAGTTGGGGAATGTTTTGTTTTGCTTTTTATATTCTATAAAATCATCTTGAAGCACAGTAGGAAATCGGCGACAGCTAGGACTTCACCCATAATGTTTGTACTTTATTGTTTACATTTTTTAAATGCTGTCATGTTTATTTTTGTTTTACCTCTCAAGCAAATACGCTAGTGCAGACAATCTGGTTTCTTCCCTTTTCATGTTTTCATTGGCATACCATCGGCATAATCCATGTCATTTAATGCCTCATAACTTATCTGTTTCACTCACCACCCATCCTGTCTGTGCAGTGAGCTTCTTATGCTGCCCAGAGCAAAACGAGGACGAAGTGCAGAATGCCTACATACTACCAGGTAAATACAGGGATCTGGGAATGGTGACTGTGTATAATGACTCTTTCCATTCTGCTATTCTTCCATCTCTGCCTCGGTGATATTATTACAAGTATTCAAAAATTGTTTTGTTTTATGTGGAGGTTGTGAAAAAGTTTCCAAATCCATCTCAATTCTAATCCAGCCAAACTACTTTGCTATCTTTATATTCAAAAATCTAGAGACTGGTAAGCCTATGCAGAACTGTTCTCACATTGGAAAAGCTGAGGAATAACCAGGTTCTGCAATTAAGTTCTCAGTGCTCATTGTGAGTCCCTGCACACAGACACAGCCACACCTGTCCAGTCACAGGAGTTCTGATCTGTGCATGGCAGTGTTATTGTTTCCACAATTGTAATTTTTCTTGTTTTAGCCTTTTTTATTTCCTGTTGGAATCTACTGTTATGTTATTCTATTTACTTTTTAAAAATCTTCACCAGTTCATTTTTAATGACTAGGCTTCAGCTTTCATCTTGATAAATAGTAAAAGAATTTGACCTGTTAACTTCTTAACTCACACATCCTTGCCAATTTAGAAATGTTGTAATACAAACTTTCCCATAAACATATAATAAAAACAATACCTTTTTACAGATTAGGAGAAAAACAATGTAATATTCACCTCAAAATTAGAGTTCAAAGCTTGATGTTTTATCTTCATCTTATTATATCTTGAATTTCATATAGAAAGAAAAATGTTTTAAAGATTATTCATAGACTACAGCGTATTAATATTTGTCATCAATTTGAAGTTAATAAAACATAAGGAAGTAGTGAGTCAGAGAAGCAAATCAACACAGAAACACTTCCAAATACTTTACCCAATAAAAAATAAGAGGAACAAGAAGGAGGTATAATTGCTAGACCTAGGATGGAATGCAGAGCAGTGTGCAGGACTCATTTTACCTATGTTGGAACATGACGTTCTGCTCAGTAATATAAGCATGATTGGACTAGTAAGTTTATGTAGCTAAAATTGCCCCAGTGATTACTACTGCTGTGTTTGTTTGTATGCCACAGCTAAACATGAGAAAATATTAGTTCTGCTTGCCAACTGAGAAAAAAATATTATAAAAATCACCTCGAGTTCTTCATAATGCCAAATTATCCAGGAGTATCATAACTATTATTCGAGGCAGCCAGTTTGTCAATAAAAATGGTTTGTTTGCTAATTCTGGAAGTTTTCTCATTTTTTTTTTTGATGTAACTACAACTGAGGTACCTGAAGTGTGCCTGGCATCCAATGGGTAGTTTTAGGATAGTAAAATATATATTTTTCATTTTCTTATTTTGTACTTACAAAGGTAAAATATCTTCAAAATACAATATATACTAAGCTGCATAATTTTATACTATCTTATCTGTAATATTGATATTTTGCTAATAATTCCAAAATCCATTAATCTTATTTGTTTAATAGATAGAATTGGTAGGTTAACTATGTCCTGATCTGTGCATATAATATTAATATGTACAAAATAAAAATAGTTGAACGTGCAGCTGAGACAGATCAAGCCCTGTAACTCATATACTACAAAAAGAAAAAGATAGGAAATGACAGTAGATTAGCCCAATGTATAGACTCACAATATGTCACTAGTGTGTTCTCTTTCCTCCTCCTTCCTGATATCTTTTACAACAGCAGTAACTGTCGCACTTAACTGATTCCCTCAACTGCTGATTGTATTTTTATTATGACCATAATTGAGCAACTGCCCTTATATTCCTGAATTTTGAAACACTTCCTTTTCTTTCATTCCCTGAAGTACAATGCTAAAAGTATGAAGATAGAGAAAACATGAAACCTGTATGTATATGTTATATCTTTTGTGTTTGTGTTCATGTATTTATAAAAACATTTCAATAAATATGTATCAAAATATGTATACATAAATAACCATAGATTTCTATGGCTATATAAATAATTAGGTTAATTTCAAATGAATTACAGCAGTTCATTAGCAGTATGACTTATGGCTGAAATATTAACCAAAGTTTCCAAAATATATCATATCATGTTTATTTTTGACTTTTAAAAAATAAAATATGAGAATTACTACCCTCCAGGAAATCTAAGGAAAATAACACCTATTCAGTACCAAGCACAGCATTAAGCACTTAATGTACTTCATCTGAGTTTTATAACAGCAATTTAAATGATATGAATATTACTTTCTTCATTTTACACATGAGGAAAAATGCTAAGGAAGTTTAATTTGATAAATAACAGGAAAGATTAACAATCAAATTTGTTTCATGTTTTCCAATTAACTATTTGTTTTTCTAAGAATGCAGCAGCTTGTTCTGTGAGATGTTCTACCAATTGAATAATTTTTAGCTAAGTAGATATTGGAAACTTTAAAAATTAAAATATCCCCCTGCTGTGCTGATTAATGAAGTCTAAAGTACTAAAATAAAAAATCTGCCTCATGTTATTTAATTCATTTGTACCAAATTGTGTATCATGAAATAAATTTTTCATAAAACTCCTCTCAGGAAGTGGTAACATACAAAAGATATTGTAGCTGCCTCAGTTCATCTGGATATTTTGTACATATTGTCGCATTTTCTCCTCACAGCATGCCTGTTGAGTAGATGTTATGTCTCCTGTATTGTAGATGTAGAAACAGGAATGTAGTCTTAACCTGAATTTTCCAGTTCATAACCAGTATGTGGCAAAGATAATGTGTTTATACATTCAGACTATAAATTTTATGCTATTTTCCATTCTATTTCCCATTGTACATGGATCTCCCTTAGAAAATTCCTGAAAAAAAATCATTTTTGAAACAATTCCTAAGTAGATTTTATGGCTAAAGATATTTGCTCAAGGTTAGGCCTTGAAAAGAATACCCTAAGGCAGGCTGAATCCTTACTTTCAATAAAATTTTTGTGTGCTTGAAAATGCTGCTCTAGTACATTTCCAAGCCAAAGCTTCAAGGGATTTCCTTTGATTTGACCATTAGCATTAATGTATTAAACCAGCAGGGTATTTGATATCGGTATGTCCTTGGTAAATGTAGTTTACCTTCACTATTCATTGTACTTTAATGTAAACTAAAATCAATGATGGATTTTCATAATTAATGATTAACTTTGTAGAACACTATTAAATTAGCAAGAAATTAATTGACTGGACTTAGTGAGCCTTTAATGGGACAGTCCAGAAGTTCTGATAGATTTTAAAAGGATTCAGGCAAAGTTGGGCCTTTTGTGCCAATTTTATGTCAATTAAAAATTCCCGTTCTGTGCTGGGCATGGTGGCTCACATCTGCAATTCTGGTTACTTGGAAGGTAGGGATCAGGGGGCATTGAGATTTGAGGCCAGCCTGGGCAAAAAGTTTGCAAGACCCCATCTCAACCAATGAACCAGGCAATGGTGGTACATGCCTGTAATCCTAGGTACTAGGAGGCGGAGGTGGGAGGCTTGCAGTCCAAGGCTGGCCTGGGGCAAAAATGGAGACCTACCAGAAAAATAATCTCGAACAAAAGGACTGAGGGTGTGGCTCAAATGCTAGTGCACAAGGCCTGGAATTCAAACCTCAGTACCACCAAACAAAAAAGAAAAACACTATTCTGGTTTACCTCTCACTAAAGTTCCCATGGTAAATTTTACCCATGATTAGATGAAAAGAAGTTGCTCCCCAGCCACTGCTTCACGGGGCCTTGGTTCTTTCCTTTCTCCATTTCATTCCAGTCCCGTGACCAGCCTTGTGCCTATAAGGCTTGTCACTCTTCACGTGATTTTAGAACATTTTAGCAATTGCATTCCATAAATTGTTTGGTTTTACTCTCAACTATGAGTTGTTTAGTTCTATAAAGACAGCATAATATTAAAACAAGGATTAAATATTAAATTTTAACACTGGTAAATAAAACTTCATAGAATTTAAAGAGAAGCTATTTTTCTAATGAAGGCAGTTAAATTATTATTTGGGATATATGAAAATTGGGATATATGAAATCTAGTGTCTGTGATTTCATATTTTACTAATTCTAAAGCTACCTTAAATAATTACTGTGTTTCTGAGAAAAAAATCAGAGATCCATTTAACTAGCTTTTTAGGCTTCCTACTTTCTTAATATCCTAGTAAAATTTGCTTCATATATATTTTTCTGTTTCCTACGTGTTTGTGTTGCCATGCTCCAGACATCTTGTTAGGCACTATAAAACATTACCGCCCAAGATGCCTTTATTACAGAACGGCTCTCACTGGGATATCTACAGGTAAGAGCCTCAGCAGTGAGCCCATTCTAAACTAATTCCTAATTCCCTTCCTATTAAATAATAGAAAGTTTACATTCTTATGCAGCATTAGCATTTTCCTTTGAAATTAATTATACAGTGAGGAACATTACATTAATAACATCTAAAATTTGTTTTAACTATAAAACTTAATAATTATAGGATAATTCTTTAAATGAAATCTGCTAGCCCCAATGTCAGAACTCTAGCTGTTTGTCATTTACTTGTTGTTTTATTTGTTGATTTTAACTACAGTAATTAATTTTATTTTATGTTTATTTCATTTGTGTATTATTTTAATTTGTGAAGCTCCATTCTGCCTGCACATGCTAAGACCAAATCAGTGACTAGACAGGAAATTCCCCTCCATCACCAATGCTCTAGCTCAAGAGTATTGAGATTCACTGACGAAACATTGGTTAGGTAAGAACACCTGGAAGTGATGTCTTCCACTTCCCTTGTCTGCTGTTGTCAACAGAGTTCAGCTGTAAAATGACTTCTTCTCGGATGTCCTTCATTTTGTTTTGGTGTAGCATCATTCTTGGTAATGAAGTTTTAGGCATTTTGTTTTAGTGCTTCCTGTATCCAGTTTTTTCATAAGTAGGTGTGATTTGGTGTCATATTTCAGTCTGAGATCCTTTAAAAAATTATGCAAAGCAATTTAAGCATAATATTTGTTTAGTTTCATTTTCTAAACAAAAATCTGAATTGCCATCCTGTCAGCTCTCTCACACCCTTATGAACTGAATCACAGTGATTCTGCATTTTATGTAAGGAGAACATTATTTTATGCTTTACTCTCTAACATGGTCTTCCTCTCTTTGTTTCCTTTGTCTTTCTCTTCTACCACTGGATGCAATGCACTGGCACTAGTGAACTGCAGCCCTCCCTTGGCAGGGCTAGGAGTGCTAGTACCAACTGCTTGAGACCAGATACTAGTTTGCATTCACCAGAACGAGAAAGGTATAAAATAAAGACTTTCTTAATTTCTTAACATTTGTACTAGTGATTTTTTTCCAATCACTTGTTTTGTTTCATGTGGGTCTCTCAGGTTTATCCATTCATGTTCACTTTGCTGATTGTCTACATTTTCCCTCCCTTGCACATGTCTGCATAGAGATATGCATATGTGGATACATCCAGGAGTTCACATGCACATATTTCTATGAGTTTTATGAGTGGTGTGATGTAATTTGTAATTGCTTCTGGCTGCTGCTTTTCCCCTTTAGTTGCTGTTTAGTCCTTTTATTTATGTACTACTCAGGGAGCCTTCGGTATGCTGATAATATCATAAGGTCCAGTGAGACACTTGAAGGAGTGGATCACTTTCCTATTAGTTCCATTGATGAATAGTATTTATAGGTTCAACAAAATCTTCTGTAAACTAAAAGTAGGAAAGGTGAGATGTGTTGAAACTCTTCCAGGAATGAGGGGGATAAAGGAAAATGATGGAGGGGATGAATTCAGCTATGATACATTGTAAGAACTTTTATAAATGTCACAATGCATTCCCAGTACAACAATAATATGATAATAAAAATATAAAAAATAAAATAAAAGTAGCAATTCTGTTTTAATAAAATATTTTCCTTATGCATCTATATTCACTTTTTAATCAACCTACTCTTTGGTGTAGATCATGTTAGACTTAAATTATATATTCAAAAAAATGGTGTGATAGAGATTTCCTTGTGCCTTACAGGAATAAATTATACATATAATTTTGCTGAAGCCTTTTAAACAACCAGTTAATAATTCTGATTTTAATTCAGGTGTGTTCAATGAAATGTGTTGTATTGTTTTCTAATTTTTAGCATCTAAATTTTCCATTGTGATGGCACTTTCTATTCTAGTAGACCTAGCTGTAATTGATAGTCTTGGTTATAACCCTTACCTTTTTTCAGTTAGAAACCATTCAGGAGAAATTTTCCAACTTACCTCTTTATAAATGCTGAAGAAAAATACTTAGTCGAACTAATATAACCCTCTTCAGAGGCTGCTTAGCACTTTTCCTTATTAATCTTCCTAGTCTTTGAAATATTTATTTCTGGAATTAAACAATATGTACAAGTACTCATATTTATTTTAATATTTTAATGTTCTAAAATCTACATTTTAATTTGTATTGTTTGTAAAGTTAATACAAAGATGAACATCATTTATATTTTGCATTCCTCTACGTTTGAAGTAGAAAATTAGTTGACTTGACTATAGACTATTCTAAAATCACAGCTGGACTAGTCTTATATTCTCTTCTGTCATACATTATTCTCCCACAGCAATTACAATGGTAAGTATTACTTCTTTTTATTTTTTTGGTGTTAAGTCAAGGGTAAAATAGTTCAGGGCAATGGAATCTTCTGACTATAACACCACTCTAACATTTCTGTTGTTTAGATTGGTGCTATCTAATAGAAACATCCTTCAAGCCATGTGTGTACTTGTAAAATGTCTAGTAGTCATATTGAAAAGGTGACTTTTTTATTTGTGGAACTGGGGACTGAACTCATGGTCTCTGGCATGGTAGGTGGGCATTTTACTATTTGAGCCACACCCCAGCCCAAAAGGTGAAAATTTTAATACTATAACTGAGTATATGAAAATGTTATCATTGTAGTATAACAATAATTCAAAAACTATCAGCAAGATAATTTGCATTCCATTTTTGCATAGTAAGTCACGCATACTGAGTGTATTTCGAAGTTTTAACTCATTCTACTCAGAACCAGCCATGTTCCTATGGCTGTTTTAGCCGACAGCCCAGGTCTTTTCTCATAGCACATCCTCTCTATCGTGTGTTCCCTTGTGACTTTGAACCCACACAGCTCACATGTCTTGTCTGTGTGCTGGTGAATTTATTCTCTCTAGTAGTCCCTTAAAACAGGTCAATCTATAGACAAGAAAGCTAGCCATAATTATTGCACAGGTCATTGTCAAATCCAGGTCAACAAATTCACTTTATACATTGAATAAAAGTAAGTTTTTACATTAAAAAATCAAGGAGAGAGATTAGTATTACCAGTGATTCTTCATTTATTGAGGTCACTTTGTTGCCAAGAAGGAAAGTGAGGTAAGTTTTCATCAAGTAGATTTCAGAAGTAGTAGATACTTACTGGTTTTGAAGATAGGGACTATAAATACTCTTTGCACACACACCAACAAGCAACTTGAAAGTAGAACATGACGGTAGCAAACTTGGTGACTCTGCTTCTGGAAGACACAGCTGAAGTCCCTGCCAAGACATGCAGAGAGTAGAAAGTGGGGGACCTTGTGACCCATCCAGTTGCTTCATTCCTCTCCTTGATCACAGAGTTTAGTGTCAGTTTCTAATGTATACATAGTGGATAAGATAAAGTGTCTAAGAAACCTTAAGATACTAATTTCATATCCTTTTTTTCTGGCACGCGTTTACTGGGACTTAAACTCAGCCTTGCACTCGGTAGGCAAGTGCTCTACCTCTTGAGCCACACCCTGGTACTTTTTGCTTTTAGTCTTTTTCAGATAGGATCTCATGTCTGCCCCCTCAGACTGGCTTAACTGCAATTTCCTACCTTTGCCCCCAAATAATTGGGATTACAAGTGTGCACCACCATGCCCTGCTTATTTTTAAAACAGGGCCTCACTGACCTTGCCAGGGCTGGCTTTGAACTGATACCCTTTCCTCCACTTCCCAAGTGGCTGGGATTATAGGCATAATTTCCTTTTCTTAAGATAATAACATTATTTTCCAGAGCCCTCATGAAATGGTAAGTGTTAAGCGTTGGTGATTTGATGACTCCAATTCATTTTGTTTAACATTTACCTGTTGTTACACCAACTTAATGCGTTTTCCAAAATTTCTTCACTAACTTTTAAAACAAATTAAGTTTTGTGTTAACACAAAAGGTCAAGCTCTCAGTGCAGATTCAGCACCCCGCACCATATTTTACTGGCAATTCAAAAGATTAAAAATAAGTACTCCTTTTGTACAGGAACTAGAAACCCTCAGGTGTACCATAGCTCCCTTGTTAGATGGTTTGGCCCAGATTAGCAGATGAGTTGTGAGCTTTGCTTCCAGCTGTTCATGTGGAAGCACCTTTTGGGAAGAAAGTCATTTCCCTTTAGGAATTCCTCCATTGTACATTCTGTTGCTTACATAAAAGGAAAAATGCTTTCCAACAACCTCAATTCAGTGAGTTACCCCCATTCATCCTACTTTGGAAGTCAAGAAATTTGTGTGTTATTTTATAAGAGAGGATTTCGCAGATAATACCCATCCTCCTTGTTTCCAGCCATTCCCTTTTTCTTTTCCAGGTTGTAAAGCAATTCATTGAGACATTGATTTGATTCATTCATAGACATTGATTTGATTATTAGACCCACTGAGAAGAGTTGTTTTTCTTGGAGGTTTTTGCATTCTTCCATGATCTTTCATAGCAACCACAGCTTTGCAGAGGGGCACGAAGGGGCTTTCTACCCCAATGCATCCATTTTTTAACCTTCCAGTAAATCCTGCAGTCTGACTTCTACTCCTCCCACTGCATCATTACTGGGCCAAAATTACTTTATGAGTTACAGTGGCTCCCAAATTGTTCAGTGGCATCTTCCAGCATTTAGCATAACCACTCTGCCACTGGAGTCCCCGCCCCCCAAATACCTTTTTCTTGTACCTCTGTTATGAGCAGGCTTTTTTTGCAGGCCTCTCTTCCTTCCCTAACGTCACCCCGTTTTCCCCGTTACTCTCTCCTATGCTTCCCCTCAAATTATATTTCTATGCAACGCCTCACTTTCCTTCATATGAAAACAATGATTTACTGTGATTGGCTAGCACAGACCTTCCCTTCTTAGTACCACACACTAATTTCTAAAGGATTTCAAGGCCCTGGGTAAATCAAAATTTCCAACTCAACTTCATTATCATACTTTGTTCACCTCACAGAAAATGCTTTCTCCTCCTAAATATTCCTCACATTTGATGTCTTTGATATATAACAAGCTGGGTGTAGTGGCACACACTTATTATCCCAGCACTTTTAGGGAGGAGGATCACAATTTTGAGTCTAGCCTGGACAACATAGCAAGTTCCAAGCCAACTTCAGGCACATAACAAGACCCTATCTCAAAAAATAAAAAAGAAAAATGAAAAAAAGAAAAGACATATACTAATGTATGTAGCCACATAATCTGGAAACCCTTCTCCTGCTGCTTTAATCTCAGTGAGTTCATGAATTCTATCATATTCTCCCCATTAGATCCCTCTCCTCCATTATACCTCTTCTCTAGTTTTAGTACATTCCTTCCCTATTAGCTTTCTTATAAACCCAAGTAATAGTTTTTCATATATATGTATATATCATTAAATATATCTCTCTCAAATTTTCTTTCCACTTATTAAAATACCCTTCCTTTGCTGTCTGCTTAAAAATTCACAGATTCTTTAAAAATATAAGTCAAATGCCATCTTTGATGACCTTTCTTTGTGCTCCAGAACTTCCTTTCTTTTTCCTATCAGAATTCTTTGTTTTCTTTTGTGTCTACATAATTTTATGTTTTACCTAAATGTGTGTTTGTTTCTTTTGCTATATTGTAAACCGCTTAAGAGCAGGGATCATTTCATGCTATTTTTTTCATCTCATGATGGCATTATCATTTTACTTAGTGAATGTTTAATTTGAGGAGATAAGGGACTTTAAAACACCCCTTACTTTCCACTCTCAAATTTAAGTCTAATTGTGAAGTAGACCCAGGCACAGATGAGAGATCATGTTAGGAATCTGTAGCTTTAGGTCTACAAGCTGGCTAATATCTAAACCCCAAATTAGCCAATTCACTGAACCACATGTTGCTTCTACTGCAAGACCAGGCCTCATATCTCTTGGCTGCTTTGTAGGTTTGTTTGCTGCAGTGTTTGCTCTTTTTGCAGGCAGCTTGATCGGGAAAGAAGAATTCAGAAAGGGCTCCATCACCTATGCCTGATTTTTTAA